TCCTCTGAAGATGCCGGCCACAGAGACTGGCGAAACGTTAGGAAGAACAACCTTCAGAACACGGCCAAAGAGCCCAAAAAACCCACACTAATTATTCAATGTCATCTATGAAGGAATGCACACTTCACTGTTCCCTTACCTGGGTAAGTCTTGACAAAGTTCATCTTATTAAAGTCTTCTGAGATGTGAAACTCCTGAAACCAAGCAATCAAATGATTATCAAGAGAAAGATTTTTTTTCCAGAAACAAGCAGGCCCTAATGATGCCAGAAAAATACCTTCATTCGCTAACAACAATACAGTATTTGTTAAACAGAAAAGTCAAGTAACATTGCCCTTCTACAGAATAATTTACAAAGATTGCCTACCAAAATCTTTTATTTCAGGTTCAGTCTGGAATTTCTGTTTTCTGATTTTTTGTTACGGAGAAACTTCCTGTGAGAGGATGACCTTTTGGTGCAACTGCAAGAGTAGCTCTTGGAAAGCACCTATTTCATTGCATCTACCATGTTTCCCCAAAAATAAGGCAAGGTCTTATATTAATTTTTGCTCCAAAAAACGCATTAGGACTTATTTCCAGGGTATGTTTTTTCTTTCTTTTCTTCTGGTTGCTGCACAACGGTGGAGGGCGGGGTTTCACTTAACTAGGGCTTATTTTGGGGGTAGGGTTTATATTACAAGCATCCTGAAAAATCATACTAGGGCTTATTTTTAGGTTAGGTCATTTTCAGGGAAACAGGGTAGTACACAAAATTCATTTTAGTTTACCATATATTGGAGATACACTGCTTATAAATAGTGTATAAGTAACATTTACTTATTTTGCTTTGGAGGTTTCATAAACATCTTGATTTGGAACATGCATGTCAAGGGGATATAGGAACTTTGCTTAAACTGAAACAGAATGTTTTGAACAAACTGGAAGAATTGAAACCACTAAATTGAAATGGGTTACATGGAGAAAGTCCCATCTATTTAAGCTATGCCTTCCTAATTAAGAAATGCTCAGGGAAACTAACATATATTTGTTGAGTTTTTGTGAGTAAAACCCCACAAACATCAGATTAAATGTGAGTATAAGAAACAAACAACAGATTACATGTGAGCATAAGAAACAGATTATAAGTACAGAAATCACATCGATGATGGAAAATATTCTCCCTTTATATATTTGTGTGTGTGTGTGTGTGTGAGTGAGTGAGTGGGTGAGAGAGAGAGAGAGAGAGAGCAGTATTGGTATAGATTTGGTTTGTGCTTGACAGACTTAATAACACTTTCATAACAGACACCTCATCAGTTTCCTAACATTTTCCTTACAAACATACTAACAGCAGACAAATTAGCAGCAGACAGCATTAACTGAAAACTAACATATCAACAGACAAGCCTCATACTGACACTTTTTCTTGTATCTGACAGTTAACCCCCAAAGCATCTGTCTGCTGATACGAGACACAATCTGGTTATACATGTTCTCTTAAGCATATAATGCAGTTTATTCGTTCTTATATATACACAGTCATATATACATGCTGGCTAGCATAATATTTACATATTCTAACACTATTCTGCTTCATCTGGATTTGGATATTAAGGGTTTATCTATGTGAGACACAGTCCTCCAAGACTGTGTGATTTCAGAACATAAAGGGAAAAACTATTCTCTGGACTACTCTCCAACAACAAAACAAAGCATACGTAAAACAAATGAGCGGAAGAAACCAGCACCTCTCAAGGAAACACCAGTTAGTTTATTCTAGATTAATTACACTGAGAATTAATAACGTCAACATATGGACTCAAAATATTGAGAGTAATTTACAATATTGTACAACAATTAGTAAGCATCGATCTTGATCAAGTCAGTCATTTTTATTTCTACTGAAATCAATGGGACATTTTGGTATGATTATCTGAAGCCCCACTGATTTCCAGGGAGTAGAAAATGACTGGCAATATAATCCTAACTTAAAGATGTGGTGGCTGTAATAGGTCTGGATTGCAGAGAAGTCATTTGTACTGGCAGAATAGCTCTTACAATGGCATGGCTTCCTATGCTAGATGATCTTGGCTCTCCTGGTGCAGCTGGATCTGCTAGCACAACTGCTATGCTAACTGAGATCAGCTGTCAGGAGCCAAAAAGGGGGCAGAGAAGGGGAAGGGTTGACTTACACTTGCATGAAGCGCCTCCCATCCCAACCCACCCTGAATCACACCCACTTTGCTGGCACAAAGGTAGGGCGAAGGTAGTCCTAAGCAATTTCCAACTTCTCTAGACCAGTGGTTCTCAACCTTGGGCCTCCAGATGTTCTTGGACTTCAACTCCCAGAAATCCTGGCCAGCAGAGGTGGTGGTGAGGGCTTCTGGGAGTTGTATTCCAAAAACATCTGGAGGCCCAAGCTTGGGGACCACTGCTCTAGATGGAGAGGGGTTTGGATACAGCACAGCCTCAGCTGCTTCGCGTTAGCTCAGCCAGTCAGCCACTTGGGTGATGACAACTGCAATTTAACTTACCGTATTTTTTGCACCATAAGACCCACTTTTCCCCCCCAAAAAAGAGGGGTATAAAGTCTGTGTGTCTTATGGAGCGAAGGTGGTGACTTCGCCCCCACTGGCCCCGTGGGGGCAGCATCGCAAGGGTCCGTGGGAGCCTTCCAGGACCCTTGCGACACTCCCCCAACCCCCACGGGGCCAGTGGGGGCGAAATAGCAAACTTTCAGGACCTTTTGAGAGGCTTGAAAGCCTCTCAAAAGGTCCTGGAAGGTGGCGATTATACCCCCCCTGCACCCGTGGGGGGGTGGGGGCAGCGTGGCAAGGGTCTGAGGGAGCCTTCCAGGAGCCTTGCCACGCTGCCCCACCCCCCCACGGGTGCAGGGGGGGAATCGGCAGCTTCCAGGACCTTTTGAGATGCCCCCTCTGGCCCGTGGGGGGGCAGGGTGAGTCTCTAAAGGGTCCTGGAGCACAACTTAGGACCCTTTGGAGGCTCACCCTGCCCCCCTCTGGGCTAGAGGGGGCGAAATCGCAACCTTCTGGGGCTCTTGTGAAGCTTCCCAAGCCTCAAAAGAGCTCCAGAAGGTGCCAATTTTGCCCCCTCTGGCCTTCGGGGGGGGGGGCTGGGTGAGCCTCCAAAAGGTCCTAAGATGTGTTCCATAAGACGGACCTCTCCGCAAGGCTCATCAATTTTTAGGAGAAGAACACAGATTTTTTCCTGTTTTCTTCTCCTAAAAATTTGTTGCGTCTTATGGAGAGGTGCGTCTTATGGAGCGAAAAATACGGTAGCTTGAATCTAACCTGCTATCTGTATCAGTAAGCCAGTCTTTTCTGAAATCATGTTACGTGTATATAAGCTATATTCTGCTGCATGCAGTCCACACATTCCTACCTTGCTTCCCCCAACAGCGGCAACTAAACAAGCCAGGAATCATAAACAAGGAAGCGTTACTTTCCAATGTAGCATTTAGTTTCGCTCCCAAACAAGCCAGGACGCATAAGCCAAGAACAGACAGTGACAGGTGATTCTGGCTTCTTGAGCGGGTGGTAAGCAAGGAATCCTGGTTCAAATTCCACAAATGCTTCCTGGATTATTTAGTGGCTGCTGTTACAGGAAGAAGCAGGATGAATGGACTGCATGCACTAATACACAGTTCATACTCAATAAGGCAGTATTCCATACAGGGCAGATTTAATTAAAATTTTTAAATCTTTTTTTTAATTTAAAGAGTCAAAACATTTTTAATTTAAATTGTGTATTAAATCAATATGATTTTTTAAAAAAATCATTGATTTTATCCACTTTGGTTCCAGACAAATATAACTTACTATACTGTGAGAAATCACCTATTGTTTCTAGTTCTTAAACCTAAAAATAGGCAACAAATGCTGATTTTTGCTTCCACTTTAAAAAAAATCCCTTGGATTCTTAGGCATTTAAGAAGAATCTGAAAACCTCACTACTATGCCTTAGAAGGTTATACCAGCAAGCTGCCAACTCCCAAAAAGATTTTGCAATATTGGCTTAGAATTGCATCTTTTACAACCAACAAAAAAGGACCAACCTACCCAGCCACTAGTGATAAATGACACATAACACATACATACCCACACCACTGTCTGTTGGGGGCTGTTAGAATAGAATTTTTGAGGGAAAGATTAACTTGCTTTAAAAAAATCTTCCATTTTCAAAACTTCCTTCTATTTTCAAAACCTCCCCAGGGATGGGCAACTGTGACCTTTCATATGTTTTTTGACCACAATTCCGAGGCTACCTTAACTATGGTGTGTAGATACTTCTGGAAGCTGCAATCAGCAGGATCTGGAGGGCACCAGCTGCTTATTCCTGACGGTGAGATCTAGATGTCAGACTGGATTTTCGTCTATCTTCCCACAATTCTTCCAGTGAGTAACAAGGAGTGCACAGAGGGAGTAGTGGACTAAGAAGACCTGGGTTTGAAACCCCACTTAGCCATGGAATCTCACTGGGGAGTTGAGTGGGACAGATGAAACTAATCTATAAATATCTCCCACACCACAAAAGTCCTATTACAGTTGCTGTAAGTTGGTTCTGACTTGACAACATATAACATAAAAAAAATCACTGTTCAATATTGGACAGGCCTAACTTCACTTGTTCTCCACAGATTAGGTACAACAAAAACAAGCTCTATTGAAGTCCATATAAATCAATGCTTAATCTGCAGAATCTATGCTTAGTCTGCTGATAATACCAGTTATTTGTTCTATTCTAATTTTTTTATTGCCTTTGCACACCACTGTGAAATTTCCAATATAGAGATGATTAGTTAATAAACATATAAACAAGCAATACTTCTTAACATCTGTACAGTTTTGAAATGGAAATGTGTAAAATGGCTTAAGAAAAATGATAATCGGATGCATGAATTACAAGACCAGCATTCACCATTTTTAGCAGAAATTTAAAAATGCCGCTCAACAGCAATAATGTGCTCACCATAATGGCTCCATTATCTTGGCCAACAAATATCCGTCTGCTGTCGTGATGGTAAGCCATAGCTGAACAAGGAGCTGCCCAAAGAAATATCAAAGTAAGTATTCTCTAGAATTATTCTAAAAATATCTTCACCTACCGAAGCAGCCGCAGGTTTTACCACTCTCACAGGAAAATTCTTACATTTCCATATAGCTTTTAAACAAAACTAGAACTTTTCACAATACTCAAGTGCTTATTCTTAGCGTCGTCCCTTTGGACCCCTTATACAAAAGAACATGTTTGTTGTTTGGCTTTTACACCAAACTCTATACTTTTCCTACACTTGTTTTTGTAAGCATGTAGAAAGCCATGTTAATTTCTATATAATTTAGTGTCATTTGCTGATTTAAATTCTATTTTATTGCAAATGAATATGCTGTTAATGATGCAAAATCAGACAACAGTGGGTCTCCTCATCAGAAGGCAAGCGTGTTTAAGAGAAAAAACCTTTTACCGGCTTAGACAGCATGAAGCTGACCCAGCTATGTGAAGGCTCTAATTTCAACTACCTCTGAAATGGTTTGTTGAGGAAAATATAATCCTATGGTTAGTAAGCATTTCTCTCCCTCCCTCCTTCTCTTTCAATAATTAAGAAATAGAGATTTTAGGTCTATCTTTTTAAAAAATGAAAGAGAAAACAAAGAATCTTTATGTTAGGTTAGCCACCCATTTGCAAAACATACTAGATAAGAATACACTTCAGTAAAGTAACAGAACCCTCCAGAAAGAGATTTTCAGAACATGAATGACATTCTTGTATTTGTCAGCTTCCTCTGGCTGCAAAGTTTCCATTGTCGAAATTATATTTTTTCCATAGGTCAAGGATATTTTGCCATCTCATGGCCTACCCTGAAAAATCCAGAAGATGCAGCCTTGTCACAAGACTGCCTCATGGATTATAAGTAGATTGTTGAAACAAGCCTGCTGAAAAACCACCAGACAACCTTTAGAACTGAAAGTTCTTTAGAAGGGCAAAAAAGAACACTAATAGGCACCAGAAAAAGATGTGTCTTCTTTCTGGGACCTGCCTTCAATACTGCAAAATGTTACAACAATTATGGCTAGCTTCCTCCTACAAGCATTCCAATAATGGGCCATCTGCTACATGAAAAGGTAAAAGGGCAGTAAGGGAGAGTTACATTGTTATTCTATGTGTGCCATAAATGCAGTGGTGCCTCGCATTACGATAATTCGTTCCAGCGAAATCGCTGTAGAACAAAAACGTCGTAAAGCGAAAATAAAAAAGCCATTGAAACGCATTAAAACCTGGTTATGCATTCCAATCGGCTAAGAACTCACCGTCCAGCGAAGATCCTCCATAGGGGTGGCAATTTTCGGGTGCCTGTTCAGCAAAAAATGGCTCCTAAACACAGCGGGGAGCCATTTTGAGCACCCAGCGGCCATTATGAAAACCCGACGATCAGCTGTTTTGATCGTCGGGAAGCGAAAATCGGTTCCCGAAACAGGGAACTGATCATCGCGCAGCGAAATTCCCCCATTCAAAACCTCATTTTGTGATCGCTTTTACGATCGCAAAAACCTCGTAATGCAGATTCGTCGTTAAACGGAGTGCCCGTCTTGCGAGGCACCACTGTACTTCTAGGTGAGGTGTGAATATCTCTTCCTAGAGCTCCAAATAGAGGCCTGTGTTTTCTCTTGGCCTGTCAATTGTTAATTCTAAAATCTAGTTTCATTTCTACTGGGTATCAGTACAATTACAGCAGTATGTGATGTTTAAACTGCTACTTTTTCACTTACAAATATAAGTAAAAAATGGGGCACTTCACCAAAGATAGAGAGATTTCAATGTATGTGCAGCTTTCATACATAAACACATATCAGAAGCCATGGAACTGCAAACAAGTTCAGTAAAGCAAAGCATGCTGATTGTATACCACTCACAAAGAAAGCACTCTCCGGGTGGTTTATAATTTAATTATGCAGGCTACACATTGCCCTGCCCCCATCCCCAACAAGCTGGGTACTTGGGATTGAACCCAGATTGGGAGCAGAGGTTTTGGCTGCAGTTTAACCACTTTACCACAAGGCTTCAGAAGTACTGTCACATATGTACACTGTGCAATGTCAGTGATCTACACAAAGCTTCAATTGTGAAAATATGTAGCAAAGCAATATGAACTAATCGGACTTTACCATCTTTTACTAAAAAGAGTGAATAGAAATTATCCTATATAAGCTATTGTATATATTATATCACTTCTCAGCAATTCAGGCCTGGAACACAGTAAACACATCTGTAATAATGATGCTTATTTTTAAAAACCTAATGGTCAGCGTCTCAAATTAGACAAATTATCCACTAATTTAATTTTAAGGGGCAATTTTGAAAGCCTGCTGAGTACCTTCAATACTAATGATGGAATTCCAGCCATGTCTACTCAGAAGTACACCTTGTTGAGCTCACTTTCCAGTGTGCCTAATTGTTATCACATACCCCTTATTTCGTTTTATTGTGTTGTTTTGCTTTATATTGTATTGTATTATTGCACAGTGTAAACCACCCAGAGTGGCCTGAGTTCCAGACGGGTGGTATAGAAATTGAAAAATAAATAAATGTCATGAACCCTTCAACTCTGTCCTTATCAAAAGCGAAGGAAAGTGTTTATGCGGAATATATATTATCATAAACCAGAACTATGATGAGGGGCACTCACACTGTGCTGTCCCAAGATCCAACTAGATCCTCTATCAATGCTAGTATAAGTAGCTGAGCAGCCTGCACATCCTCACAGATCCTATTTTCAGTTCCAGATTGCACAACATTGTGCTGATGCAGATGCAGTTTAAGCCAAATACCACCACAGTACAAATGAACTGCTTACTCCAGGGTCAGCCCTACCATTAGGTGGAGTGGATTCACTTCAGATAGCAAGTGTTGGGAACGGGAAGCAAGGTGTTAAAGACACCTGTTGTCCATGTGATCTGCTCTTAGATGACAAGCTAGCATAGTGCAGAATGCTGATCTAATGTCAAATGAAAGCTGAATTGTGAGTCTGACATGCTTTGTAGATGGAACAGAAGGAAATAGAGTATGTCATTTTGCTCTTTGCCTCAGGCAGAAAGACATCTTGGGCTGGCACTGCCCTTTTTGGCCATATAAACTTCTCTCATAAATATAAGGGAAGAATAAGAAAATAAAGGTGCAAAGACATCTACAGATGTATGTATCGTACATTGGGAATCTGTTGTCACGGGGGGGGGTGGAATTTGCTTATTAAATTCCTAGTAGAGACACAATATATCCAACAACAAAACAGCTCATGTACTTACTTACATGACATTGTGTGGTAAATGCTGGGCCAGTATTGGCCACTGTCTCTCTTCAGCCATACTCTAATTGTCCTGTGAATTTTAAGAAAAAATAATATGTGCAATTCTTTAGAGGAAATGTCATAATGAGATACTACAGGTCAAACAACAGTGTCTTTACTCATGTCTCCACTGTCATACCACATCTATAACATTCAGCTGATTTTATGAGTTAATAAGGCATAATGGCTATTCAATGTTTGCATGATTTGAATGGTAAATGATCATCCAGCATTCTGACCATGAGCAGTTTCTTTTCAGAATGACTGATGAGATCAGATGGCTATTTTTCATCATGATTCTAAACAGCTTGTTCCATATAAACCTGTACCCAGGACGTTCTCACTCAAAAACTGACTTCTGATCTCAAACACAATCCTGACAGCTCTGATTAGAAGTTGGATCAAGACTAAACAGAATTCTGCATTATAGCCTTGCTACATTTACAGTGTATTACACAGGGTGATAGGAAGGCAAATTCCAAGATCTCATATATAAAAATGATGCACATGGATGTAAGAAATTAGTTCAAGCATCACTCAGCTTTAAAACTAAAACGACTACAGAAGGGTGATCACATGTCCCACTTTACAGAGGACAGTCCTTTGTTTAAAAGTGATGTCTGCTTAAAGGGCTCACCAATCCTAGTCCAGTCTAAACATAAAGGCATGCGAAGGGCAATGGGACTTTGAAGCTGGTGGCTATTAAGTTAGCACCTGGGCCACAGATTAGCAGCCACATGAATCACCTACTCAATGTATTTTCCAATAATGCTGACTTACAGTTGGATTAGTTTAAAGAAGCAAGCTTTCAACTTCCTATTGTCAGGACTCTACCACAAGAAAAAGAAAAATTCAAGGCAAAAATGCATTTTGTGAGAAGTATACTGAGCAAGACCTTAGGAAGAAAAAGGTGAAGCAAGCATAAATGAACAGCACATGTGGATTTATGCACTCAGATAACATACACTATTGCAACAATGCTAATTTTTTAAAAAAGAAAACAGATTCTCACTCAGCTTTATTACATCTGTTAAACAGGACAGTGGCTGTCTTTATGAACATGCCTGACTGTTAAAATTGTCAGGAGAGGTCTTTCTCTCATTCCCATCATCTTCATAGGTGCATTTGGTGGGACACAGAAGAGGACCTTCTCTGTTGCGGCTCCCAGACTTTGAAACTCATGTCCACAGGAAGCCAGGATGACCCTATCTTTTTTGTCTTTCCACACGCCGGCAAACACCTTTCTCTTCAGGCAAGCTTTCCCTCAATGCCTGCCTGCTTGAGTGGGGTTTTTAAATAGATGGTTACGCCTTACTGTGTTGAAAGCATTTTTGGTGTTGTTTTTGTTTCCTGTCTTTTAGTGTGGTGTTTCATTTTTTTTTAAGTACAGTGGTGCCTCGCAAGATGAGCGTCCTGTTTAACGACGAAATCGTATCACAACGAACTTTTTGCGATCGGAAAAGCGATCGCTTTACGATGTTTTAAATGGGGTTTTTTCACTTTGCGATGATCGGTTCCCTGCTTCGGGAACCGATTCTCGCAAAATGACCATTTTCGGTCAGCTGATCAGCGGTTTTAAAATGGCCGCCGGGTTAAAAAAATGGCTCCCTGGTCTTTTCTGGGACAGATTCCTCGCTGCACGTGCATCGAAAATGGCCGCGCTATGGAGGATCTTCGCTGGACGGTGAATTTCAAGCCCATAGGAACGCATTAATCGGGTTTTAATGCATTTCTATGAGCTTTTTTTTATTTTGTATTACGACATTTTCGTTCTACAGCGATTTCGCTGTAATGAATTAACGTAATGCAAGGCACCACTGTATTTGGATACTTACTGTTTTTAGTTTTCAATATTGTATTTTAATTATGTGAGCTGCCTTGGGCCCTTTTTGAGGAGAAAGGCAGACTAAAATATTTTAAATAAAATAAAAATAATAAAATTGTTTGACACATCCTGCTATATTTGTTATTGTTCAACAGGCACAGCACAGTGCATGAAAACAGCAATAAAAATAAGCTCCAAATATCCAGAAGCAAAACTATCCACATTAAAAATCTCACACTGCAAGACAGAGACCCTTGGGAAACAGATCTAAGAAGGTTTATATCTGAGGTGCAATTTCAATGATGGCTCTGCCAGCTAACTGTATACACTAAGCAATTACTCCGCCCAAACTCTCAGCTGATATACAAGATGATATGCAGTAATGACACTTAAGGTGCGCTACCCTGCCTGCTAGGATGCCTGCTGCTCCTGCAGATTCACCCATATGAGTAGCAAGAACTATTTTCTTTCTCTAAAAATTAAGCACTGCTGACTGGTGAACTAAAACCCACCACTCAAAAGTGACCTATCTTATATTCTCCAGTCTCATTTTAAGACAACAGCTCATATACTCTAAGTGAACTCAGGTTCTTCTGTTGGCTTAAAGATAATCAAATGCAACAGATGCTATAATCCCTGAAAGCTCTTAGGAAGGAGCATCAATTAACCCTCTGGTCTGATGAAACAAGAATGCTGTCCAGTTATTTAAGCACAGCTTTGAGGGGCACTCTCTTGCATACCATTTGTTTATATACAAATATACATATACTGCCACTCTGCTCCACCATAAAAAAGACAGATACTCTGTAGGGCAGCTGACATTACTGAACCCAAGGAATAGCAAGTTTTCACCACTGATGTATTCAAATTATGTTATTAGAGTCTTCAAAATTAATGGTGGTAATATAATAGATACTGACAAAACTCCTGTTATGGAACTACACTGGTGACAAGGCAATGGCTTATCTTACTACAGTGGTGCCTCGACTTACAACCATCCCGATATATGACCATTTCAAGTTGCGACCACCTCCGGCCGCAAAATTTTGCTTCAACTTGCGGCCGGAGCTTCGACTTGCAAATAAAAGAGGCTGGGGAAAAAGGTGGAGAATTCAAATTAGAGTACTAACCATTGGTCGGCAAAGAGCTTCTTTTGCAGCCTTCACCCCCAACAGTTAGTGTGTGCGCCAGAGGCGCTTTGGACTGCCTGGTACTGCTTTCTGCTCTTGAGTAAGTACACTTACTTTGTTTTGCAGGGTGAGTTTGGATTTTGGGGGAGGGTCATGTTTCTGTGCTGTGATTTTTTTGGTGTTTTGGTGTATGTGTTTTTTCAGCCCCATCACGTTACGATGGGGCTGGCTGTGGTGTTATTTTGTCTTATTTGTTTTTCAGTCCCATCACATTCCAATGGGGCTGGCTGTGGTTTGTTGTGGGTTTTTTTGGTGTTTTTTTTAATGCTGGAACGGATTAATCACGTTCCAGTGCATTCCTATGGGAAATGGTGCTTCAACTTATGACCATTTCGAGTTACGTCCATCTTCTGGAACGGAACATTACAAGTTGCTGCTTGAATACCTAGTCATGAATCATGCCACTCGACTGGCATACAATGAAGAATTTGAGAGGCAATTTGCTACTGTACAGGACACCATTGCTCTTCCATCAGAATAATTCCACAACTGGATTTTGGCCACTAAATGCTTTAAACCTAGAACCTGGCCCCACATATCAACTGTGCTACATAAGCAGCAGTCTAGGAAACATTCCAAAAGTAGATTCATAGGCCACACCAGGCCAAAGCACTCTTTCCATTTTCAAGGCCTGAATGAGCTAAGAAACCACATAATTATTCCTTCAAAAAGCTATTTTTCCCATCTGAAATCAGTACCACATAGCATTTGTGCTGGGAGACATAAAATACTCAAGGTCAAACCATGGTTTATGTTAAAAGCATATCTGCTAACTTATTTCATTCAAAATCCTTGCTTATCCAGACACACACACATGCAGAGACAATGAGACAGCAGGCTGCTCTGTCTGCAGGACCCCAGATCCTAGCAGACAGAACAGATTACTACATCTGTGTTAATCATCATTTTCATTCTCTCTGAGAAAACAAACTTGGTGTGTTTCTACATTGATAACATCTGTGGGCTGGGGAGAGAAAGACACCACTCCCTAGTTCTTCTACTTGCATAGCCCTTAAGTACTGTATAAACTAAATTATATACCTCATCAGGTTATACAGGCATTAAAGTCATACATGATTTGGATGGGAAAAAGTTATCCTTCCCACCCTAAGTGGAAGGTCGTCTGATTGTTCCACAAAAAGTAGGAAGAAACTAGTTCCCCATTTCTTTCCCTATCCCTGCATAACAAGGGTATGTGCCCATCCTAATTCAAATACTGTACAGTATTATCTGGGAAGACAGTGGAGAGAAGAGAAATAAGACAAGCTCTGAGATTCTCTCATTTTTCTATATTTACTGCTAGTATGCTTTTTGTCAGGGCACTGGGAGGAAAAAAAAGTAAAACAAAAGGCCACTCTGTGAGAGAAAGAGAACATACTTCTCTTAGACATTTTGGAAACACCAGATGTCTCTGAGGCACTGTGAGGCATCAAAATGACACATCTTGCATTTCCCAACTTTATGGACCCATCACTTAAAAGCTTCCTTATACAAGCATCTGAGTGTTATGGATAAGCATATTACGGAACAACTCTAATTTAACACAACCTTACACCCCAAATAACGCTGGCAATTTTAGGCACCAAGAGACTCCACCACACATACAGATCTTCATTTTCCCACTTTCCGTCAAAGGCTGATATGTATTGCCATTCCTCTGGGATTTCAGGCTATGCATGAACAAGGGGGCGGGGGGGGGTTCGGGAAAGGAAGGAAGGAGGTAAGGGGGCATCCTGAATCAGGGATCTCATATATATATGTGTGTACCCACGTATACATGTGTGCGTCTGTAACGTGTTTGGTTAAGTGGCAACTCAAAATCGGCAGCGCCATTCCCACGGCGCTGTGCGGGACAAAACAAACGCGATGGGGGGGGCGTGTCGCCCCCACCCACCCGCTCACTAGTCGCCCAGCGCCATTCGCACGACCCTGTTCTTGCAGAAAAGAAGGCAGCTTCAGAACACACAATGAGCTATTCATGGGGCGGAGCACGATCCACAACCGAGAATCCCCTAACCCTAAACACTGACGGATTTATAGGCGTCTTTCCTGCCTATTTTTAAAGGGAGCGGAAAAGCTACCCTCTCCTTTTTTTGGGGGGGGGGGGACCTCAGGAAACTCCAGCTTCGGGAAGAGACCTCTTCCCTTTTTTGCTCGACTTTCCAGGGAAGGGGGGGTGAGTGGTGGTCTCTCTGCCAGCCCCCCAGACCCTCCCACCTGTCCTCGCTGGCGGTGATGATGCCGTCCTCCTTGGGGATGATGAGCGCGGCGCTAACCGCGTCCTGGTGTCCCTCGATCTTGCTCAGCAGGACAGGCCGGCTGCTCTGAGGCCGCGAGTGGATCTCGGCCGCCATCTCGCAAACATACGGAGTGCAAGAGCAGTGGCGGCGGCGGCGGCGGCAGCCCGTCAAGCGCCGCTAGGGAAGAGCGGCCCGTAATCGCGGGTATAGCGGCACCTCCGGAAGGAATCAGCATCCAGCCATCTTCCGTCATGTCCCGAGTAGCACCGCCCCCGGAAGTTGCGGGCGGGTTAGATTAGGAGGAGGCACCGTCGTAAGGGCGGGATGAGCTGCGTCTCTGTATTGGGCGGCTAGAAATTACCGTAATACGCCGAATAGAGGGACCTCTAAGGCCCTGTATTAGCGTTGAAACGCAGAGAGTCTTGTGGCAAATAAAAGACTAGCACATTTTATTTCATGTAAAATTGTTTGGTAGCCCACAAAATGAATGCCAAATGAAATATGTTAGTCTTTAATTAGCGTGGAATTTCTCGGCTGCAAGAGGAACCTTCCTGGAAATGGTTCCACTTTTATTTCCTCACAGACAGCAAAAAAGAGGGAAAATACGATAATCGGACACTACAATATTTTACTAAAAAGAGTGAATATAAACTATCCTATGTAAGCTATTGTATATATTACTTCTCAGCAATTCAGGCCTGGAAGACAGTAAGCACATCTGTAATAATGATGCATATTTTTAAAAACCTAATGGCTAGTGTCCCAAATTAGGCAAATTATCCACTAATTTAATTTTAAGGGGCAATTTTGAAAGCCTGCTGAGTACCTTCAATACTAATGATGGAATTCCAGCCATGTCTACTCAGAAGTACACCCTGTTGAGCTCAGCAGGGCTCACTTTCCAATGTGCCTAATTCTTATCACACACTCCTTACAGTATTTTGTTTTACTGTGTTGTATTGCTTTACAGTATGTTATATTATGCTACTGTGTAAACAACCCAGAGTGGCCTGAGTTTCCAGATGGGCGGTATAGAAATAAATAAATACATGTCACAAAGGAATACGATAAAACCACTACATGAGAGTTAAATGAAATACAGTAATTGAAGTATTGAGGGTTTTTAAAAAGGGAGAATGCATTATATAATGTCCCAGTGTAATTAAAACAAGAACCACCTGTTTTCACCCCAACCCCTCATTCCCAGGTGTTGAGAACCCTTTCTGAGTATTAGGGCCAGATCAACAGCAAAAAAAATTACAATTTAGTTCACAAAATCAAGATAACACAAATTCATATTGGTGAATGCAGAAAGAAACCCACTTTTATTTTTGGTTTGTTTCTGTGTTTGGATATAACTTAAAAGATATGGCTACACAGCGAAGGAAATACGAATTTGTTTATTGTGAATGTGAACCAGGCAAGTTGGATTTAAATAACCACAGAAAACAGGATTCCTGTTGTTGTTTTCCATTTGTTACTATTCCAAAAACTCTCCTAGAACGAACAGGGTTGGTTTGTTTTTTTTGTTTTTGGGAAATAGGCTTTGCACTTTGCAAGTGTGTGGCTGCTTAAAAAGAGAGGCTTGGGAGGCAATAGATAAGTTGTGTGCACTCAACTGGGCTTTCCTGTCTACATTAGTTCACTGAAGCGAAAAGGTTTGACAGTTTTAAAAAGTAGAAGCGTCTCTGGTGGGGAGGAAAAACTATGGATTGGGATTGTAGGATTCCAACTGGATGATTAATTTGCTTTTCCCATGGCGACGTGTGAATTAGCCCACCCTAAACTTCTGCTTTCTCCATTTCCCTCCCATGTAGTCAGTCTTTAGAGGAGCATCCTGACACAAAATTAGGAAAAAAGGATAACCTGTCCATTTCTTACATGGCCCTGAAGATGTGCACGTTTATTTTAGCTACAGAGTTGCCTCTTCAGTATTATTAAATAATCCTGAAATGCAAAGACTTTAAAAGAAATGTCCATTAGGAGGCAACCCATATAGGAGAAGGAAAACTCTGATTTGAAACCCCCACTGAGGCAGCGCCATCACCGTCCATGCCATGAGGGAACAGGCCGGGTAGGTGGGGCTCATCAGCCTTGGAAGGCAGCTCATCTAGGAGAAGGAAAATTCCGATTCCAAACCTCCGCTGCCTTGTGGCTATATCCACTGATGGAAAAGGCTTCAGGAGTTAACCTCGAGGCAAAATCCAGAGCCGGAGTCCCGGAGGCAGTTCGTGTCATTCTGTCAATTCCTGCGACGTCACTGAAACCAGTTGTATTGGCTCTTGCCTTTCCATTGGACCATTTCAGTGATGTGTAGAGGGGGAATTTGCTGGTTGGGTAACAGCCTATCCATATTATTTTACCCAGGCTTTGTGCCCTGGAGAAGACACTCCAGCGTCGCATACAGCGTCAGAACACTAGACGCTATTCCAAGTCCTCCATACAGAGCATGTTACCATAGTCTCTTGAGACTGAAGGATGCCTTTAGGAGAAAGAACCACTTGGTCCACATTGAGATCACTAGGAATCTGCATCTGCTTGTGGGAGATTAAACAGGTGGTAGCTCTGGCACAAACCTTTGCAATAATAGCACTCCACCTAGCCTATCTGCCCTTCCCTGGGCTATAAACTGATGCTAAGGAAATCCTTAACTTAGATGCCAATCAGCTCCTTGCTGATACAGAGCATACACTGCTACAGCACCAAATTGATGACCCACTCGATCATTGTTTTAAAACTTCTAATAAAAGAGATCCCACTGCTTTCCAAGGCAAACTGTTCCAATGCCAAGCTGCTTGTACAGTTAGTAATTTATTCCCTTTTGTTAACCTGAATCTATTAAATCAGGTCCTACTCTTCTAGAACAATTATTTGCTCCATCATATGTGATAGGCCTTCAGATATTTGACAATGACTATCATATGATCTCAGAATCTCTTCTGCCACCTAAGCATACTTAGTTCATTAATTTGAAAACCACACCCACAAAGAACAGGCATTTTAGGAAGTAATTTGGATGTATCTATGAGGGTAGAAAAATCCTAGCTTTCTAAGATTCTTTTTGAAAAGATGCTTCTATCATACCTGTAGAACCTTCCTGTAAGCTATATGGTAGGTTCTTGGAAATAAGTTTCAAAACACCAACATAATACAGTCACAACACACAGAACATGCACCTGAAAAATACAATTTCCATCTATGGACTCAAATGTAGTTCTGTACCAATGAACAATATTTTTTAAGCTTTATAATTTTGCAATAATTGTGTTCGGAGGCTTTAGGGGCAGGAACAAAGATATTTCTTTAAAATAAGGTTTGGTTGTTGACTTAACATTTTCAGTTTCCATTTCTATTATAACAGGCTCAGGCTTTGAGATGTAAATCATTAAACCTTTGAGCCATATTTCAGGATCTTCGTAGGATTATATATCATGAAGAATACTAAATGGTTTTTGTTTGCTGAATCCTAACAGAGCACGTCAGAGGAATAAACCTGAGATGGAGCTCAGGGAGTGAGCAAGCAGGGGTTTGATGGGTGGTAGTAGTAAGAAGAGGATCCAGTGGAGAAAGAGGCAAAAAAAGAGAGGGGAGACTAAGGAAATAAAGTCAGAGAGTAATATATGAGTGTACTCTTCCCAGCATCACACCAGACTTTGAAGTTCCGGGAGGATAAGGATTTTGGGACCCAGATAGTCTTCTTGGAACAGAAATGGAAAGGAAAATATTCCATGTTAGCAGCTGGCTATGAAGGTGGTGATGGATTTGGATTTTGGGATCATGGGCTTTGCTTACTGGAAGATGGGCTGCTGGCAAGTGATGGGTTCCATCTCACAAGAGCTGGAAAGAATGTCTTTGGCCACAGCATGAACTTCATCAGGAGGGTTTTAAACTGAATTGGAAAGGGGAGGGAGACGCAAACTCAGAAGTAAAAACAGATACAGGCTTATGCACAATAAGAGGAACAGAGCATGTAGCTCTAATAGCATCCGATAATAATCTTCATTAAAATGTACAAAGGAAAGCAAACCACAAATCACACAATTCTTGGTGCCTATACCCTTTCCCTCCGAAAATAAGCCCTAACCTGAAAATAAGCCCTAGTATGATTTTTGAGGATGCTCATAATATAAGCCCTACCCCAGAAATAAGCCCCGGTTAAGTGGAACCCCACCTTCCAACATTGTGCAGCATTGTGCAGCAACCAGAAGATGACATGACTGTACAGTGGACCCTCGACTTACAGACTTTTCGAGTTACAGACTTCTCTGGCCGCAAAATTTAGGTTCTACTTGCAGCCTGAGAATCGACCTACAGAACAGAAAAAAACAAAAATGGAACAAAAATGACCGGTTACAGGATTAATCGGTTTTCAATGCATTGTAGGTCAATGGAGACTCGACCTACAGACTTTTCGACCTGCAGCCACCGTTCCAATACAGATTAATTCCGTAAGTAGAGTGTCCACTGTATTTGAATAAATGTAGATTGTTGTACATGGAAAAAAAAATAAAACATCCCCTGAAAATAAGCCTTAATGCGTTTTTGGAGCAAAAATTAATATAAGACCCTATCTTATTTTCGGGAAAACACGGTATATATAAATGCCAAAAATATGGGAAACAAGAGCAGAAAATCATAGCTCAAGAAGATAAATACAGCTTGGTACAGTCCTCTGAAGATGCTGGCCACAAAGACTGGCGAAACGTCAGGAAGAACAACCTTCAGAACACGGCCAAAAGGCCCAAAACACCACGAAAAACCACCACAGCTTGATATTGATAACTGAAACTTGATGGGATGATTCTCATAACTGGAATACAGGAACTGAAGGATTTAGATTGTTCAAAAAGAACAGAAAGAAGGGGAAAGGTGGTAAAATCACACTATATGTCAAATATATATACTGTATTTCTGCACAGAAATACAGGAGGATGGGCTTCTGGATTAATATAATTGGGGTGAAAAATAAAAGGAACAAGGTAGTTGGTGTCTACTTCCGACCACCCAATCTAGGAGAACATGTAGATGAAAACTCTGAAAAATAAATTGCAAGCAATTCAGAGAGATACAATGTAATAGTAATGGGAGATTTCAATTATCCTGATTTCTGTTGGAGGCAAATTCTGCCAAACATGCCCCCCCCCTAAGAAATTCCTGACTTGTGTGGCTGATAATTTTTTCCTACAAAAAGTGAAGGAAGACGCTAGAGGATTAACTACTCTGGACATCCAACTGAGATGACTTGGTGAACAAAGTGCCATTAAGAATTCTAGGGGAAAGTAACCA